GACAGGATCTCCCTGTAGCCCCAGCTGGCCTGGAACTCGCTATGTAGGCCATGCTGGTCTCGAACTCTGAGATCCCACTGTGTCTGCCTCCAGAGCACTGGGATTAAAGGCATGTACCACCACGCCAGGCTAAGATTAAATTAAAAAAAAAAATCTTTGTATATATGTGTGTGGGTTTCTGTGTGTGTATGTCATCTACATGTGGGTGCCTGTGGAGACCAGAAGAGGGCATCTGATCCCCTGGAGCTGGAGTTACAGGTGGTTGTGAGTCACCTAATGTGGGTGCTGGGACCCAAACTCTGGTCTGTAAGAGCAGTGCTCTTAACCTCTGAGCCATCTTTCTAGTCCTTAATGAAAAATTTAAATTATACTTTTTACATTCTCTTTCAGAGGTCTAAGATAGAAGGAGAGGTAGGTCTGTGTTCCTAACCAGGCTCTGCACAACTATTCTTCTGTTTCCTCCCTTCCTCCCCACCCCTACCCAAGACAGGGTCTTATTTTGTGCCCCATGTTAGCTTTGAACTTGTGCTAATCCTCCTGTTTCAGCTTCCAGTGCTAGGACTACAGGTCTGCATTTGCAATCCTAGCTATTATGCCTTCATTTCACCTTACCATGCTTCAGTTCCTGGATCTCCAGATTACTTTTATAATTTACTTTTCTGACAATATGCAGTGGTCTCTGGCACACAGGCCAAACGTTATGTCCAATCCTGTTCTTCCAGGGCCCTAGATCAACTTCTGCTGCCCTAGCCTAATAAGCAAGCACCAAGCTAACGAGAGACCCTACCTTGACAAACAAGGTGGACAGCAGCTGAAGAATAATACCCAAGGTTGACTTCTGACCTACACACATACGCATGCATACCTACACAGATGAACATATATACACATGTACATACCTACACACACACACACATATACACACAAGCCTTTAGAGACTAGTCACAGAATATGAATTACTGATGTACAAGGTGCGAAGTAAGAAACTACAGTAGTAAAAACCATGAGCCTACATCTCAGCAACCTTAGCAAGTTACTTAATCTCTCCAAGTCTTAATTTTCTCTTCTATAAAGAAGTCATATGAACGCTCTGTTCAGATACCTTTGTGGGGGCTGTGAAGATTCTTTGTGTAAACAAGTGGTAACAAATGCTTACTACTAATAAATATTAGCTATTCCTTCTGAAATACAGTCCCTGGACCACAAAGATACAAGTTTTCTCAAGTGACTTGGCCCAGAAGACTACAGTTTGTAGAGCCTGGTTAAAAAACTCATTCAGGGACTTCCTATCTGCAACACACCCTGCATGCCGCTAGTAGAACTGCATCAATAGAATACACACACCTCTGAGGCCCAGCCTCTTTATCGGTGCAGTAAATGAAGTCAGAGGTCACAGTGGGTGTGGCTACACAAGACAGTGCAATCTAATTATGATGACAGAATAAGGAACCGGGTAATGAAAATGTAAATCAACCTATTCTCTGTTGATCAGGATGTTCCTCAAACACATGGTCAGGCTGTCATGGGACTGCTGGGTGTCAAGAAACAGGGTTATATTATTTCTACAGCACTTACCTCTCAGTTGCTGGAGTTCCAGATTCAGACTTTGAATGTTACTCTCATAAAACTCGAGATTCTCAAGGGTCTCTGCCTTCAAGGATTCATCTTGTTTCTCCTCCAGCATCAAGTTTAGCTCTTCCTGAGCCCTGGTGTACATGTCCAAGTCCTGTTCCACTTCCTGAATCCTCACCAGCACAGAGGGGCATGGGGAAGTCTGATCTGGACTCTTTTCCACGTGTTCCGGGCTCTTCTCTAGAGCCTCCCAATGAGGATGGTGACAGGAGGTGGGCTTCGGGGAGGATGTGTTCACTCTCTGCTGAGCAGAAGGAGGCAGGGGAGCTGGGCGAGAAGGTCGTACAGCCAAGGGGGGCACAGGCTTTGGGCTCTGGTCAATGAGCAAGTGTGAAGTGGGTGTGGGGGTACAGGGTCGGGGTGGTGGCGGCCTCAGGACTTTTCTCCTTTCCGGAAGCTCCTGTGAGGGGAGCTTTGAAGAACCTCGCACAATATCCTTTTCAGAGTTAAAGTCCATGATTGAAAAATGGCGTAAAATTTTATCTGGCTCTGGGCTGGGCCCTGACAGGCTCTTCTCAAACTCTAGCAGCTGTTGTGTCAACTTGGAATCCAGGTCAAGGCTGTCTCCCTGTGACAGTGTGGTCACGTCTACAGCGGGCCCCTTGCCTGGTGGAACAGGCCTTCTGTCTGGTCTCTCTGGTTTGGAGCAGAGGCTGGAGGCACTTTCTCCAGATGTGTGGTGCTTCTGAGCATCTCTGGTCATGGTTTGAGAGCTCCGGTGGCTGGGTTTGGGTGTCCTCGAGGCTGTGAGGGAGGAGGCCGTGTGAAGCGGGGCTGCTGGCTTCTGAAAGGACCTCCACTGGGTATGTGTTCTTTTGGGAGGCAGGCTGGAGTAGTCTCTAGCCCTGGCTTCTAGAGGAAGAAGGTCAGAGAATGGATCTGAGCCTTGGTGGCTCCCTCCTGCTGTAAAATAATACTGGTTTTTCTGCACTTTGGGATGAAAAGGTACCTGAGGTTGGGAAGAAATACCATTGACTGCCTCTGAAGGATCAGGCATGGAACAGTCTTTAGCGAGAGGTCTTTCAAGCTCCACACCTGGGCTTTTGGGGGCCCCTCCCGAGGTGTCTTCATGCTGACTAGAATTCTTACTGACAACATACTCAGGAGACAGATCCTCTGGGGGAGAAGAGGCTTCAGGAAGAACATAAATGGGCCTTTCTGCTTCATATTCACAAGATTCGGACCTTGGTTCTTCTGCTACTGAGTTCTCCAACCCATCCAACGAGCTTTCAGGGCTCTTGGTGAGGCTGTCTTCCTGGGACAGAATCATGTTGTCCTCTGTCCTGGTGCTAGGACATAACTTTACAAACCGATGGGGAAAGATGCCTGTCCTGCCCTTCAGACATCCTTCCAGCCAGCCATCTTCCAAGGTCCCCAGAATTTGAATTTTATCCCCTACCTCAAAATCCAACTCATTGGGCTCCAGTGCTTGGAATCTATAGAGGGCGAGTCCATAGGTTCCTGGCTGCTGGGCCTCCTCCTCAGTCCCACTCCCTGCTTCCTCTAGAGGCATATCTACTTCACCATTAGCAATACAGTCACCCCCATTTCCAGAATTCACAGGTTTATCCACAGTTCTCAGAGGCCCCAAAAGCTCTACAAAACCTTCTGGAAAAATGCCTCTCCGACCGTCTAATTCTCCTTCAAACCAGCCTGGCTCAGGAACTCCGATTATGGTAATCACATCTCCTTCCCGGAAGTCCAACTCCTCATCCAGCTGGGCAGACAGTCCCATGAGGGCTCGCGCTTGTCCCATGGAATATTCAGGAATCTGAAGCAGGGCAGTCTGTGAGTGCCACTGTCGGCTTTGAGAGGAGAGGCAGAGCTCGCGAACACATGACGATGGGAAGAAGCCCCGGGCACCCCAGCAGCTGCGGCCCTGCAGCCATCCTGCAGTGGGAATGCCATCGAGAGTCACCAGGTCTCCTGAAGGAAGAGATGGAGAGGTAAATGCCTCACTCAGAACCCCAGAACAATACCTATAACCAACATGCCTTTGTTGTTGTGGAGATAGGATTTTACTGTGTAGCCCAGGCTATCACCTCAATTCTGCCTCAGGAGTCAATTGAATACTTTTAAAAATGCCTTAATTACATTTTAAATCAATCATTTAATTAGCGTGTGTGTGTGTGTGTGTGTGTGTGTGTGTGCATGAAGGTCAAAGGACAACTTGCATGAGTCAGTTCTCTCCTTCCACCAAACAGGTCCCTGAGATGAAACTCAGGTTGTCAGGCTTGGTGGCAAATATCTTTACCTGTTGAGTCATCTTCATGGCCCCATGAGATCTTAAAAGAAAGTTCCAGTAACCAAGTCTTTTGTTTTTGCAAATAACTCATATTTCAGGTTATCTTCATGAAAAATAAGTTACATTTGTCTTAGTGTTTAGTTTTACTCCAGTTTTAAAACATATCCTATAGTTCTATAATTGTTTTATAACAAATTCTTTTTTAAAAAAGATTTGTTGCCCTCTGCTTCCCTGGGACTGCAGGACCCGCCCCAGGCCTCTCCTACCCACAGGCCTCTCTCTCCTACCACAGGCCTCTCTCCTACCCGCAGGCCTCTCTCTCCTACCCGCAGGCCTCTCTCCTACCTGCAGGCCTCTCTCGGGGGTTTATATTGAGTTCAGTATTGTACAACTGTATTAATTCAACTGTGAACCTAAAAATTTATAGCCACTTTTGAAAGAGATGTATCCTTACTCTGGAATGTGTTACTGATTCTGTTAAAGCTGTAATGAAGAGGCTGGAGAGATGGCTCAGCAGTTAAGAGCACTGACGGCTCTTGCAGAGGACCCGGGTTCGATTCCCAGCACCCACATGGTGGCTACAAGCCATCCTTAACTCCAGTTCCAGGGGAATCCGAAGTCCTCTTCTGATCTCCACTGCATTGCACTGACACAGGTGCACTCACATACATGCAGGCAGTACACTCATAACACATAAAATAAAAATAATGCTTTTTAAAAAAGAAAAAAAAGATTTGTTATATATTTATGTGTTTATGTGTGTGTGTCATATGTGCAACATGTGTATGGATCCCCTGGAGCTGTAGTAATAGCTGCCTGATATGGGTGCTGGGATTCAAACTATGATCCTCTGAAAAAGCAGCAAACACTCTTAACCACTGAGCCATCTCTCCAGCCCCCCACAACAATCTTTTAGTTATATAATTGTGGTGGTTTGACTGAAAATGTTCTTATAGGCTCATATCTCAACACTTGATTTCCAGTTGGTGGCTCTGTTTGGGGAGGTGATGGAATATTTAGGTGGTGTGTCACTGAGGGTGGGCTTGGAGTGTTCAGAGTTTACAGCCTCACCCCACATCCAGTTCTCTCTCTCTCTCTGTTTTGTGTTTGTGGTTAAAGATGTGTGCTCACAGCTTCCTGTTCTTGCTGTTGTGCCTGCCACTTCCTGTCATGCCTCTTTGTCATAACGAACTTTTTCTTTAAAAAAATTATAATTTTTATTTTATGTGTATTAGTGTACTGTCTGCATGTGTATAAGTGTACCTGTGTTGTGCAATGCCTGCATAAGTCAGAAGAGGGCATCAATCCCCTGGAACTCAAGTATGGACAGTTGTTAGCCACCCTGTGGGTGCTGGGAATCGAACCCAGGTCCTCTGTAAGGGCAGTCGGAGCTCTTAACTGCTGAGCAATCACTCCCGCACCCATGATGGACTCTTAACCCTCTATAATGGTATGCCAAAATAAAGTTTCTCCTTAAGTTGCTTCTGGTCATGGTATTTTATCAGAGAAACAGAAAAGTAACTAATACAGTAATTATGAACAATTCATTTTGTGGATTATTAATTTTAATTCTATTTTAACTTTCCGCTTAGTCAGTACATAGGTCACCTTCCCTTTTATAAACAGAGATGCTTGAGGAACGTAAAACACCGCAAATGGTTAGCAGGACAAGGCAGCAAAGCCTTGATGGAGCATTTCACAGTAGAGAACTGGGTTATTTATGTTCTTGATTTTTCTATAGTCCTGAGGTGTTTTTTTTTTTTTTTTGGTCTTTTTGAGACAGGGTCTCCCTGTAGCCCCAGCTGCCTTGAAACTCACTATATAGACCTGGCTGGCCTTGAACTCACAGAGATTCACCTGCCTCTGCCTCCCAAGTGCTGGGATTAAAGGCGTGAGCCACCATGTTGGCACTAATTTTTTTTTAATGAAGTTTTCCCTATCTTTCCAAGTCGCTTAGTGAAAGGCATTCTTCTCTTGCATTTTAAGAGTCTGAAGCATACCTAATGATGAGTATCCATTTACCCCAGCTCCCAAATTCATCATATTCTCCTGCCTCTAAAACTGGCTCCTGCTGCTAACTTTTTTGTTCCCTATAATTTCTTCTTTCAAAACATTTA